GGGTTCCCATATCAACCTAACAAGGTTAGTTCCTAAGAGCCATAGGATGCTCCAGCCTGTGGCAGCAAGCTTTGTTCAATACTCTGAAGGGAAGACATCAATTTGATTACTGTTTTCATGATTATTTTAGAGACTTCCTGGGTTACTGTACAGTGTGACAGCATTAGCAGTCAGTCGGAGCACTTTCTTGCAATGCAGAATATTTAACAGGGAAGAGGAGGTGGATGGGAGACAGGAGAATATTAGCAAGGCTCTGTGTTCATCACTTTCATTAGGAGTTCCTGATGTGCCTAACAAAGGGAACTTTCTTTGCACCAGCAATGAGTGTGGATGGGTTTTTGCCTGATTTGACCCACATCTCTGTGCTGTGAGTGAGGAGGGTGAAGGGGAGGTGCTAATCCTCTCCTCTCCCGGGTATTCCCGGGGCTGTTGAGGTGTCAGGTCGCTCCCCAAACGCTGATCCCACCTGCCAATACCAGGCTGGCTGCAGGGAAAGGCAGATCTGGTTTCAGGGGGAGGCTTCTCACACACACTAACTCAGTTACTTAATTCTGACCTTTCAAATGAGGAGCAAATTTGAAACACTGGTCATTAGGATCCCAAAGCCTTCTGGGGTTTTTGGTGGATTTGTTTTTGTTGGTTTTTTATTTGTTTCCCCCAACAAAAATAAGTAACATCTGAGTGGCCAAGCTCTATGCAGAGCAATTGTATCCTGCCTCCTGACACATTCGTTCCCTCCAGAGGACATTCAGGATTTTACTTTGCAGCAACCAAGAGAAACCCAGGGAGCATTTCCAGTGGAAGAAAGCACACAGTGGGTCAGCAAAGCGTACTGCAGAATTGAAACTGAAACATGAATAATTGAAATCAAGGCTAAAGTTAAGATAAATTATTATATTTTGATAAAATCTAGTTTTGTTAGATTTGATGTGTAAACTCTTTAAGTGTTATCTGTAATCCTTTGCAGAAAAATACATTTTGGGATGTGAATTTACCAGTTCATGACCTTCTGTATATTGTTTCTCAAGAGATCCTTTACCAGGGTGGCAACAAGAGGAACTGACCATGAGCACACCCATTTCCAGCCACCACAGCTCATTCCAAATTCTCTGTTTTGTTCTTAGCATGGAGAACTCCTCATGCTGGCCTCTGGCACCGGCCTTGCACCAATGATTCCCATCCTCCAGTCCATAACAGATGATGAAGAGGATGAAACCTTTGTAACTCTTGTTGGCTGCTTCCCTACCTTTGACAAAATTTATTTAAAACCTCTTCTGCAGGATTTGGCTCGCTACTGGAATATTAGAATATTTTATGTCCTAAGCCAGGTAATTAAATGGATATGAAGCATGTTTGTGTCAGGGTTCTGTGTGCTGGATGAGCCTCTGCCTCCTCCACTTTTCCATAAGCATGATCTTAATTCTTTCCCAGTCATCCAGCCTAATTTATGATCCAGTAGCTGCTGTTCTTAAATCTGCTATGTGTACTCACTGCTACCACTTCTCATCTGGAGAATTTTGGGGAAGTGGCCCACACTGTTCTTCTCTGCCCCCTGTTCTGTTGGGATGGACCTGCTGTTTCATAGCCACTGTTGTTTATTCCTCCCCATTTCAGACAGTAGTTGTTGCATCTAAACAGCAAATAAGCTGTTTCTTTCTTCCTAATACCAGTGCCTAAATCTGTCCTTATCTTCCATTCTTGGCTCGTGGCTGGAGCTCTCCTCTGGTGTGCTAGCACCAACTTCCCAGCAATTATTTTTCCTTGCTGACCCATTTTTAAACTTCTAAAAGTTGTCTCCCCCTCTGTAAAATTACTTTTCTGCCACATTCATGGGATGAGGGCATACCTCTCAATGGTCTTACATTTTGAGCAGTATTTTCATTTCCATTTGGTCCCAAAGTTGCCTGTGTTCTGCATGGATTTGGTGGTTAAAAATTATTTCCGTCAGAAATGAGGATTCATTGCTGGGAGGATATAGAAAGAATTATTTATGCTAAGGGAATGAATCCCATTGCATTTTTAGTTCCTCAGATGAATCATTTCTTGTATCTCTCACAGTGGAACTGCCTCATACATTCTGTTCCACACGTGGCCTCGGCAGGATGAGATTTGGTAGAGGGAAAAGTGCTGGTGACTTGGGCACCCCCTCAGCTGCTCTGTGGGAGCATAACCATAATTGTCTCTGGTGACATGGCTTAAATACTCTTTTCAGGGTGTTTAAACTCTTTGGCTGCTGTCTCAAGAGCATGAGGAGATCTTGAAATTCAATCAGTGAAGGGCACGAAGCCCACCTGACCCCTGTCAACACTGTCTGCCCCTCCTCTCTTAGCAGGTTTGTGGTAGTCCAAGGCTGGCTCATGCATCCTCCCTCTTGGGATTATGTATCTGTCTGTATTTCATTGTGCTGCCTGTCACCACCACATCTGAGCACCTTCTGCTCCTGATTAATTGCAGCAGGGGAGTCCCTGCTGGATCCAGCACCACAGGAGCTGGCACTTCTCATGGGATCAGAGCTGCCTTCTTTCAGTTTTGGTCAAGGGAGATGGGACTGAAAGAGGCTTGGGAATGGGAGAGGCAGTGGAGAGGAACAGACTTGGGATTTGGGAATAGGAAACCTGGGAGATGGTTCTCAGTGGAAAAAGTTCTGCAGCATTTATTTGTGGTAGTTACACTCTGGTTTTGTTCAGTCCCCTCAGAGTGACTGGCAGGGAAATATTTCCTCTGGGCTTGGGAAGAGGAATGCAGCTCACAGAAGGGTCAGTGTCACCCACATGGTGTCACAAAGGTGAAAATCATCCTGTGCCCCACTCTGAGGGGAGGAGAGATTGAGCTCTAAGGAATGTTGTCTTTTTTAGTGTCACACACAGCAAACCTTTTACCTTTCCAGGAAACTTCGCTGGAAAAACTTCCTTGGAGCTACCAGGAAAACACGTACACCGGTCATCTCAATGAGGACTTGATGAAGACAATAGTGAATTCCTGTAGGAGAAAGCCATTTGTATTAATTTGTGGCTCTTCTGCATTCAATGAAGATATGAGTAGATACTTGAAAGCTGCGGGAATTGAAGAAGATTCCTGTTTTGTGTTTTAGCAGTACATTCCTGACCTGAGGAACCTTGGGCTGAGCCTTGGATGTCCTTGTTTCTTTACAGATATTTCACAAAAGGACCTGCTCAGAAGACTGAGCTCCTTGGAGCACCTGTTTGTTGATCCTCACTGTGGGGTGTTTTAAGGATCAGGTGCCATTCCAGAGTGGCTGCTACATGGTGTGCCACCCACACCTCAGGGACCTGCATGGCAATTTTAGTGGAAGTCTTCAAGTGCAGTTCTAAGAGAGAGATCTCCTGAGGGGTACTAGAAAGCATCCACACATACAGCTCTGCTGTAACGTGAGGATTGCTGACTTGCTTTGCAATCTGTGTTACTCTGCAGTGGGTTGTGCCCTGTTAGGTGTCCAGAGGAGAGATCTAATCCTCAGGGATCCTTGCCAAGTGAAGGGGACAGCAGAGTCAGGATCACTTTGGTTCTGTCATGTGCAGGCTGATGTCAGGCAAGTCCCTTCAGCCTCACTGTGCCTCAGTTGGCCCACTGTACATTAATACAGAGAAGGTGGCACTGATCTCTGAAAACAGCCATCCCAACCATGTATGGGAAGTGTATCCATAAGGATGGAGTGATACATTCTGTCCAGGGAGAGCCTAGGCAGGCTGAGCTCCTGTCCTGGCACAGCCTGTGTTACCTACCCTGTGCTTAGCCCTAGAAATGCTACCTGGGGACACAAAGAGCATGTCCTGAATCTGGGAGAGCCTGGCTGGGTGGTGGCTGCTGTCTGTCAGGGAGGATGGTTGTTTGCTTTCCGTGTCCCCTAAGTGTTGTATCATAACCCTGGCTCATTAAATTGAACCTCTTTACAAATAAGCAGCTGTTTGATGTTGTCACAGGACTCTCTCAGGTGCCTGAGGGGGTTCCCTAAGCACACAGGAACACCACCTGAGGAGGGAAAGCTGCATGGGGACTGCTGGGGTGCTTCCCTGTGGGTCAAGGAGCTCCCTCAGGGATGGCAGCCTGGCACAGCACCCAGCCTGGGCACCTGGGCCTCCTCCTCTTTTTTCAGTCCAAAATGCTGCTGCTTTTCCTCTGAGGTATGTGCTATCCACTGTTTTATCTTTTCAGACTGGTGTGTTTAGTATCTACACCTGGAAATACAGCAGTCCTGCACACCTTGTGTTTTTCTGTTCATTCCCAGTTCACCCTGTGTTGGGGTTTTCCAGGCTGTCTCAGATGGTTATTGCATTATCATTCATGCTTCTTTTGTACCTGTGTCTAACACTACACCTTGCACAAAGGAAATGTAGTTTGTTACACAAAAAACACAGCATGCACTGAAGTGCTGGCTTGATTCACACATTTGGGAGGGAGTGTAAGTTCCCTTTGCACTGCTGAGATTTGTCTCCAGTTACCAAATGCCTGGAATTAATCAAGTGTAGCTGCAGCTTTCATGTTAACTTCCTCGGAGAAAGGGCTGACAAGAAAGCCATTTTCCTAACCCAAGCTGGGGTTCTGGCTTTAAAGGCATGGAGATCCAGGCAAGTTGTCCATGGTTAGTCCAAGGCAAGCTCTCATCTCCAATCCATGCTGTGCTTCAGTCACTGTGTAGTGAAGATGCTTTGTACACAGGCTGATAAAATAATGAGATGCTTTCTCCAGTTGCTTTCCCTGCTCTGGCCTTAGCTAGGAATATGGACAAAACCTTCTTTGTCAGATATTAAGTATTTGAAAACCGAGCTTCTAGTCCTCTAGCTTTAAATATTATGTCTTTTTGAGATTCTGCTAAAACCACACCCCACCTTTTTGCAAAAGGCCCAAGGTAAAAAACTTCACGCTTGCCTTGGAAAAGCGCCGGCTTTCAGCGTGAAAGCTGGGACTGTTCCTTTAAACACAACCCCAATATGTCTGGGTATTTCAGCACATATGGGCCACGATGCTTAAACCCTACCCAGCTGGTCCGGCCGTTCTGCCGCGCAGCTCCGTCTTTGTTCGTGGCTCAAAGGGAGGGTGGTGAGAGACGGAGCAAGCTGTGAGTGCTGCGGGTTGCCATCCTGCAAGGGCGGGCTGCGGCCGAGCGGGAGGAGCGGGGCATGTCCCGCCCGAGGGGACAGGGGCTTTGCGAGACATTCTCCGTGGGGGAGATGATGTCCTTGGAAGCAGGAACTCGAAGGAGCCTTTAAACCGCCCGCAGGCACTTTGTTCTCTATTTTCTGCCCTTCTCTCCCTTCCCCCTCCCGCCTTTTGTTGTTTCTCAGGCTGGCTCTAACACGAGTCCCCTCATCCCAACCATCCCCCATGGGGACAGCCCCTTTCAGAGGATGGCGTGGATTCCTGCAAACGCAGGGAAAGATGTGGAGTGGAAAGGCTCTGGTGCAGAATATTCCTTGCCAGGGGGAGATGAGAGGTTTCCTTCCCTCTGGAGGCCCAGATCCACCCCGTGGTGGCAGTTTGGTGGGGAGTTGGTGTCGGTGCTGTTGGTGACTGGGGCATCTCTGGATGAGCTCGGGTGGGTGGGTGATGCCCAGCCAGGGCAGGGGCTCACATCCTGCCTCTCCTGCCAGGCAGGGGGGTGCTGGTGGGATGCTCCTGATCTCTGGCTGCCCCCAGGAAGCCCCTGCCACCCGTGCAGCACTGTGCAGGGCAGAGGGGCTTTGCTTCGCTTCCTTTTTTCTTCCTCATGTGCAGCCTAAATACCTTCTTAATTTCATCTCATTATTTCCTGCCTAAATAATTCTCGTTTCTCCTGGGGACCGTTTTTAAACCTTTGATCTTTTCTGAAGTCTCACAGTCCTGATCACATCCTTTCTGTTTAAATGAATCAAATGCCTTTTTGACTCATGATTTATAAATTTGCCCACAGAGGAACAGAGGCGCACCTTGAAATCACCCACCGTGCCTGTGGGTACCCTGGGCTGATCCAGAGCACCTTCCATCCTGACCGTGCCTGGCTCCTCTGCTTCCCTGCTGCATGCCACTCTCCCCCTGCCTCCCTCCACCCTCCCAGCCGACTCCTCAGCTGACAGCCGGGTTGCCTGGGCTCGGGCCCAGCCTGGAATGGCCATCCCCGGGTCAGGAGAGGGGTGAATGTGCCGGTGGTTGATGGATGCTGTCCCCTGGGAGCGGGGCACAGCTGCCGTGCTGCATGGCCCGGCCCCCATCTCCCGGGGATTGCTGATGCAGAGCACAGCTCAGGGCAGGGAGAGGAGCAGCTGTGCAGGGGTCCTGGGCACTGCTTTGGTGCTGAGGCTGTGGTGGAAAGGGTGGAAGACAGTGGGTGTTGGCCAGGATGGATGTGATGAGGATAAACATGTTGCTCCATAGTGCAGCGATGCAGAAGTCGGGGAGCAGGGGAGCAGCCCAGGGGATGGTAGCTGGGAGGGCTGGGCATTCCTCCTGGATGAACCAGGGCTGTGGCAATGGAAAATAGCCAGGAGAGGCCCCTGTGCCATGGCCAGACCTCACCTGCATCTTTGCTGTGTGGGCCCACACTTGTTGACAAGGACAGATCTCTTCTCCAAGCCATTAGGGAAGCAGCTAATTAAGCTCTGCAATGTTCCTGGGAGGTCAGCAGGAGATGTGCCAGCACTGCAGCATCTCCCAGAGCCTGCACTGGGGCAGGATCTTCCCGTGGTGCCCAGGGACAGGGTGAGCTGCCCTTCTCCTCCTCATTCCATTGTGCTTAGTCCTGGTGCTGGTGGGGTGACACAGTGCTCGATGCCCAGGACAGAACCCAACATTCCCTAAGCTGGGCTCAGGATAGAGGGCTCCAGGCTGGGATGTCCCACAGCTCCCAGCAGCCCTCGGCATGGCTCCAGCAAGGCTGGGCAGAGGGGAGAGAGCCTGTACAAATATTATTGTTGTTGTTATTCCCCATAAATATATGCAGGCACTTAACGACCTTGGCATGGAGCATTTCCTGGGGATTCATGACCAGTGGGTGTTAATGGTCTTTAGCTGCACCTCAGGCCATCAGCTCCTCCCAGCCCATCATTAATCCACAGGAAATGTCTCAGGCATCGATCCTCATTGCTTAATTAATAAATGCAACTTGTCTCCTGTCTGAGATTTAGAGATACTCACTGCTTCTCTCCCTGCTGCTTTGAAGGTGACTTTTTCAGCACAGGTCCCTCACGCTGGGAGGCCCTCGTGGGATTTTGTTTCCTGGCATTCATGTGGGTGTGGGTTGTGGCAGCAGGAAAGTCTTTTCTCTCCTGGGCGGGAGGGAAGGAACTGAGCCTCTGTTGGGTTTGGGGTTTCTCCAGCTAACGTGGCACAGCACAAGGAGCACATCTTTCCCACCAAACCCAAAGGCTTGCTTACCTTCAGCTGAGTGCATCCAAGAGCCCAGGCGAGAAGTGAGCCAGCATGGAAGAACGTGGCAATTCTCCAAGGCCTTAGCAGGTTCTATAATAATCGATGTTTTTTGCCCATGAGTCACAATTCATCTCTAATCTTCCTCGGGGGAGGTGGGATTTGCTATCTTTAGTGCTCACGACTGCTGCTTTCCCGGGCTGAGCATCCCGCTGAGCCTGGACTCCTGCTGCAGGGATGCTGACCTGGCAGCCAGCTGCCTTTCCATCCTGCTCCCTGTTTGTGTAGCCCTCAGCACCAGCTGGCTTTGTGCAGTGGGTGCCGCAGTATAAATCATGTTAATTCCTGAGATGCTTTTCCGCGGTAAGTCTGAAATTCCCATTTTGGTTCGCTGGCTTGCCTGGCGAACTAAATTATTTTCATAGCCCCTTAAGGGCATATTGTCAGCCCAGACTTATTGCCGTTATACACCATTTCTGAAACATTAATATCTCTTCTAAATATAGTGTATTGACAAGGTATCTGGTATAGTGTAAATCCTTGGGACATTTGATCCAGATCATTAAAACTGAGTGAAGGAAGGGAGGAATAGATCAAGTTACCTTGCTGCTCTTAATTCAAACAAGCGATGAATTATTCATTCCGCTATTAATTCTACGGTCCTCCTGCTTTTTATTTATTTCTCTCTTTATTTGTTTTTTTTTCCTCCCAGATAGACAGCTCCAAAAGGATGCTCGGGCACTGGTGAGGGGAGATTTGCCTGCTGGAGGATGGGGTGCACAGGGCTGGGCTGTCTGGCAGCGCTGGCCGTGCTCTGCAGGGCTCTCGGGGATGCTCCCAGCAGAGGTAAGAGCCTGGTTCCAGCTCCTGGTGGGCTGGATGGGCACCCATGGTTCCTGAGGAGGGGAGGGCCATTTGCAGTGCCACAGTGCCTCTGGGGTGTGAGTGGGATCCAGCTGTCCTGCAGGGAGAGGGGCTGGCTCAGGCCAGGGACAAGGAGCAGGGATCTGGAGTCAATGTTGTGGTGGCAGCAAGTGTGGGACATTGCTCCATGCTTGGGTTTCTGCTTCATGCTTACCTTATTGAGGACTGCAGGTAGGGGATGTCCTGTTGTGGTGTACAGGTGCTTTGGTGAAGGGTCTGTTAGCTTCTGGAGCTGCACTTGCCTATATAAATCTATATACACACATACATTTATATGTGAATGTATGCATGTAAGTGTATGGGGCAGGCATGCAATAAATCTCTCACCTTACCCAGATAAAAGGTCCCCCAGGATGCAGGGCAGGATTAGCAGATGACACAGTAATTCAGGGAATAGGGTGGCCCAAGCGCTCCCCCATCCCAAAATGGCAGGGCCTTTCTCACAGAAGGGCTGAGCCAGAAATCAAAACCTTTCCCTGGCACTGGTACAGGTGCTCCTGAGGCCACACCACTGCCCTGTGGTGCCTGCTCATCCTCCACATACACCCACCTGGACTTCACAGAGCACCTCAAGGCTCCCAGCCCTTAATCCATCCATCCATCTTCACTGTGGCTACCCACATCTCCCACAGGCTCCCCCCTTGGGTATTTATTTCAACAATGTTATTCACAGTACCAGCCCCATATTACTTCACTGCCTATGCCCAGTAATTAGCAAGGTGATTTTAGATCTGGCCAGAAACATTCATGGTGCTGCATCCCACACATCCCAGAACCCCCTTGCTGGGAGGTCACTGTGCCAGTGAGCACGATGAAAAGCAATGTGCACAGGCTGACTATTGATTTGCAATATACTTGGCCCAGATTGATGGCAGTGAGTGCCCAGCCTTGTTTGGGAACCCACACGTGTCTCCTGGGGGCTGTGCAGGGTCTGCATCCCTCCCAGACATGATGTATGTTCCCCCTGTATCAGCCTCTTCACCCCAGCCCTAATCAGACCCAAGGGCAGGTGACAGCCGGCCCCTCTCAGCCTTATTTTATAATAACCATGTCTCAGTATAAAGATTTCATTAGGAAATCGATCCCTACATGCATAACTCATTGTTCAGCACATCGAGCCCTTCACCCCTGCTTCTCCCAGCTCGAATTCTCTGATACCACCCTTATATGGAGGGAGTGGGGTCAGTGGGAGGCACTAAGCTGCAGGGCTGGGCAGCTGGGGCACCAGCGAGCCTGGTACCACTGAGCCTTTAAAACTCACTCCCAACTTCCTTTTCCCCAGCCATAATCAGGTGGGGATGCTGTTCTGGCACTGGCAGGACAAACTCAGGGGCACAGCTGAGCCCTGCTGCAGCCCCCACAGGGCAGCATGGGGAAAAGGGAGGAATGAGAGGTGGTGGGGGCACACATGTCCTCCAGGGAGAGTGGATGGACAAGCCCAGTGGAGTTCTGCAGGATGCTGGTGGTGGCGGGATGGAGCTGGTGTTGTGCATCCTGTCTCCATTCTTTTAGTCTTCCCCTGGAAAGGGGACATCACACTCCCTTCTGTGTCCCCCAGGCATCAAATGTGGGGGAGTACTTTCAGCACCCTCTGGCAATTTCTCCAGCCCCAACTTCCCGGGGCTGTACCCCTACGAGACAGAGTGCACGTGGCTCATCGTGGTGGCCGAGGGCTCCTCCGTCCTGCTCTCCTTCAGCCACTTCGAGCTGGAGTACCACGACACCTGCGCCTACGACTACCTCCAGGTCTACAACGGGGCTGCCCGGGACCGGGGCAACCTCCTGGGCACCTTCTGTGGCCACAGCCCCCCGCCACCCTTCTCCTCCGCCTGGCACGTCATGGCCGTGGTCTTCCGCTCCGACCGGCACGTGGCCAAGCACGGCTTCGCCGCCGCCTACAGGAAAGGTAGCAGGGAGGTGTGGTGGGCACTGAGCACCCATCCATCCATCCATCCATCCATCNGCCTACAGGAAAGGTAGCAGGGAGGTGTGGTGGGCACTGAGCACCCATCCATCCATCCATCCATCCATCCATCCATCCATCTCTGCTCTGCCACTGCCCTCATCACCCTTGCCTCCCTGCAGACGCCTGCGGTGGGCAGCTGACGGGGCTCTCTGGGGAGATCACCAGCCCGCGCTACCCCGAGAGTTACCCCAACGATGCCGAGTGCCGCTGGAGCATCGGGGGCGCCAGCGGGGGTGGCCCCCTCACCCTGGTGTTCGCTGACTTCCAGATGGAGGGGGGCCAAGGCTGTGGCTTTGACTACGTGGCCCTTTTTGATGGCCCCACAGTTACTGCCCCCAGCCTGGGGCGTTACTGCGGCAGCGCCCGCCCACCCCGCACCGTCTCCTCCACCCCACACCTCCTCATCATCTTCAAGTCGGACTTCAACATCGGTGGCAGGGGCTTCAAGGCCCATTTCTACTCAGGTTTGGGTGTCTCAGGGTGGTGGGGCAATGGGAAGGATGTGGGGACAGGCCCTGGGTTGGGGTGGTGATTCTCCCCCTCCCACAGCAGCAAGAAATGATCATGGGTGGGATCCCTTTGGGGAGAACCCATGAGGTGAGGGTATGAAGTGTGAACCACCACACAATGTAAACAGCATCACTGTGGCTATTCCAAGCCCTGGGTTGCCCTCTTGCGTAGGAGTCACCCTTGCTCATGCCATTCCCTGGGGATATGGGTTACTCCTGTAGGACTTTGACTGCCTTAGGATTTTCCGTCCCCCTGGAAATGGCTGTCCATTGGCCAAATACAGTGCTGGGAACAATGAGGTGAAGGGCAGAGCATCCCTTAGCAATAGAACAAGAAGGCTTCAGGTTTGCTTTTGATTTTTCCTTTCCCCTTTTTCCCTGAGCAGGTGAGTGCCAGGAGGTGTTCACCACCATCAAAGGGAATTTCTCCAGCCCTCAGTACCCCAACTTCTACCCCAACAATCTCAAGTGCCAGTGGATCATCCAGCTGCCCCCGGGCTACCGGGTCAAGGTCTTCTTCCAGGACATGGAGCTGGAGGGCCGGAGCAGCCTGACGGGGGGCTGTGACTATGATCACTTGTCTGCCTTTGATGGTGGCACCGAGAGTGGATCCCTGCTGGGCCGCTGGTGTGGGCGGGAGAGCCTGGCACCCGTCACCTCCCGCAGCAACCGGCTGCTCCTGCTCCTCCACACCGACCGCAACACAGCCAAGAGGGGCTTCTCCATCTCCTACGTGGGAGGTAAGGTCCCACTTGGGTGCTGTGGTTCCATTGGGACGTGCCTGACACCATGTAGTTTCCAGAAGGATCATCAGTGAAGGTTCCTGTCTGCAGGAGCAGAGCCCGTGGCTCCTTAGGGGTGGGGCAGAGGGAGACGTGGCAAGCGAGCTGCCACATCTTTTGTTTAGTATTCAGGAGATGCTTTCCAGCTTCAAATTCCTGTGTGTCTGCCACTGCTATGTTCCTGTTCCTCTCTCAGGGTGTGAGGAGAGATAACCTGGGGGTTTTTCATGGGCCAAAACCCCAGAGCAGGTGACAAGTTCAAGCTTCACTGCTTTGTTCCCCTCTCCCCTGGATGTTCCAGCCTTGCCAGCACATGGCTGAGCAGGCAGGCATGAACCATGTCTCCTCCTGCAGGGAAGGCAGGACTCCCAGGGCACAGCATTCCCAAATGCACCTGGCCAGCCCTGCCTGGCACACCCCTGCTGCTGGCCTGCAGTGTCCCAGCCAGCGTGTCTGGCATGTCTGCAGCTGGTGGGAGGAGCAGTGGGTGACCTTCCTGCTCTATTTGCCAGCCTTTGCACCTCAAACACCAGCAAATTTATGGTGTTTGTTGTATTTCAGTATAATTACATCCGAGCTGACCTGTGGGTCAGGCATGATTCAGCCAGGGGCAGCCTTTCCAGAGGCTGGAGCCAGAGCAGGGCTGCTGGACTGGCAGCACAGGCACTGGGGAGGCTGGCCTGGGTTTTGTTCCTCAGCTGCAAAATCGTTCTTCACTTCCAGCACAGCAGAAAGGATTTGGAGGTATGTGGCTCCTGGAGTTAGAGATGGGATAGAGTTTTGTCCCGAGTCTCTGGAGGGGGAGAGGTAGTACTGAACATTTAGTGGGGCTGTAGTGTGCACAGCAGGTCTGCTCCTGTTCTCGATGATTTCTCACTGTGCAGGGAGAAAATCCTGGTGTCACTGCTCCAGAGGGAGCAGCCTGCAGACAGATAGCTGGGGTGCTGCTGAGGAGTTGGGGATGTCCCATCACAAACAGAGGTGTGACATCTCACAAGTGCCCAAGGCTCCTGCATCCCCTGGTACACCCTGCCAGATGCGTGCTAGGGGAGGACAAAGGCTTGGATGTGAAACTGAGCCTCCCTCCACAGGGCTGAGCCTGCTGGCTGTGTTTGCCCAGTGATTCCAGCATCTGCTTGTGATTAATGTCCTGCATGTCACACCCAGCTGCCAGCACTGCCAGGAGAGCAGCTGCTCCCACTGGGCACACCAGCAGCTCCCTCAGGAGCCCACAGAGGCAAAGGGGCACTTCAGTCTCTGCATCCACACCCACAGCCCTTCAGCCATGCAGGTTTTTCCCTTTCAGGCCCTCCAAAAGACAAGGCTTGGGTGGGGCATGTGTGATTTATGGCCATTGAAATGAAAGCCTCCATGCCAGCAGAGAGGATCCACTTTCTCCTCCTCCTGATCTAATGCACTTTAGTTATTTGGTAAATCTTCTAATGGTTTTATAATGCACTAAGCGAAGCAAAGTGACACTATTTTTTTGTATTGATTTTATTGCATCTTCCCAGTTTCATAAGGCTGAGATTCAGAGGGAGCTGGAATAATTCAATAATTCATATTGCCCGAGTGGTTAGTTCATGCTGAGCAAGGATTCACTTTAAAGAGGGGGGTATTTTTCCTCCCTGCTTCTTTCCCTGTGTGAATGCTTTCCACATCCAGAGAGGCCAAACAGGGGCTGGGCCATTCCCCAGGAAGATGCCCCAGGGCCATGGACCCACCTCACCCTTTCAGGAGGGACATGTGGCAGCCATGGAGCTGCCTCGCTCCAGGGCATGCATGGGATCCCTCCAAGATATGTCTCCTCTGTTTCATCAATGTAGTGTCTCTTGCAGGGGTGTTGTAGGATGCAGGGGAGTGCTGTGCCCATGGCAAGCCATCCACAAAGCTCTTGTGGTCTGGTCCTGGGCAGCAACTCAAATGTCCTGCTGGCTTTGCAGTGCAGGAGAGTGGCAGTGACAGCAGGATGGTGTTGCCTGTAATGGCACTTGTGTGTCACTTGGAGACCCTAGAAGGAGGATGGGGTTCAGGAGTGTTGATGGTGAGATCTCTGCCTTGGGAAAGCAGAGCAGCGCCTGGGAGCCATCCATGTCTGCCCTTGGCATGGGACAGGGCTAAAATACTGATATTGATTGCTTTCTGCATTCTGGAGGTGGCTTTTTTCCTGAAACCCCCTCTCCCCATGAGTCCTACACATGCACCCTGTTTTCTGTCCCAACAGTTGTGCCCATGAATGTCAGCTGCACCCGGACAGACTTCCACATCCAGATCCCTGTGCAGTCCCTGGCCCAGCTGGAGAGGAATAGGATTTATCTGGGGACCCCATCCTGTGCAGCCCAGGTGGTTGGCAGGAACTTTAAAATACACACCAGGTTTGATACCTGTGGCACTGAATCCCAGGTAAGTGATCAGCAAACCCTCCTTTACAGCAAGCTGTGTAAATGGTTAGCCCTGTGCTGGCTGCAGAGAGGTATTCCCAGTCCCTCTCACATTTTCCCTGCAGATACTGGCCTGATTCCTGGCCAGCCCCTCCAAACCCCTGTGAACAGGAGCTGCACCAAGCCCTGATGAGCCGTGTCCCTTGTATTGCAGAGACGCAACAACACGTCTGTCATCATCAGCACCCTCTACATTGATTTTTCAGTGGGAGACCAGGAGGACATCCACCAGTACGAGGTGCAGTGTGAGCCAAAGAAGAAGGAAGCCTCAGTGACCCTTATTGCTGGCCCTGATCCATCCAGGCTCAGCCAGGCAGAAAACCTGGTGGATGCCCAGAAGTGGGAGGGGGAAACGGTCGATGCCCGTGAGATCAAGAGCCAGGACACCAGCGACATCGTCTTCATCAGCATCTGCATCCTGGCTGGGCTCCTCATGGTCATCGCAGTGGTGGGGCTGGTGCTTCTCTAGGATGCTCTTTCCACACTCCAGGGATTGCAGTCCCACTCATGCCCAGGGCAGAAAGGCACCCCAAAATCCACCCTCACCCCAAGCTGAACCCCAACACAGCTCCCAGGCCCTGAAACTGAGCCTGAACCCAACCTCCACCTTCTCTTAGTGCCTGAAAAATCTGGGCAATAGGCAGCCGTTTCCCTTCCCAATTTGTTTTCCTCTGTTTCAATCTGTCCATTTGGCTCAGGAATGCAATTCTTGTGCTCCCTAACTCTTCCCACACCTGCTTCAATTTGTTTTCCCTGTAGTGCTGCTGCTTTCAGGAAAGAAACGTTGTTTGCCGATGGCTGCAAATCTTCCTGTCAATTATTTCTAGCTGAATTCTTGGAGGTACAAACCATCCCCAAATGCAGCTATATTCCCAACAAATGTTCTCCCTGCTCCCAGCCCGTGCTTGGGGGGACTGTGGAGCTGTGTTACAGGGATCTCCACCTGGCACACACAGATGTAGCTCATGCAGGTGCTCCCAGGTGATGTTTCTGGGTGTCTGTGGGTGATGTGATGAGATGAATTTGCTGTGCCCTGGAGCTCCTTGTTTGATCTTCTCATGTTGTCTCACCTTCTCGCAGGACTCACCTGAGTGCCTCAGCCACCAGCAGCTGGAGGGGAGGAGAACAATCCTCTTCTCCTCTGTGTTTTCCTCCTTTCCAGCAAATCCAGGTATCCACAGCTGTGAACTCTCTACCAGCATTACTGCTGAAGTGTGAAAATATGGGCAAATCCTGCTATGGCCTGGGGAGATGTTGGAGTGCAGAGGTTTTGGTAACCCTGTAAAGACAACCTTGGCAGGAGGGGCTGGGACCTCAGTGACACCAGATCTCCACTCATGGTCCCTGCAGAAGGCGAGTTCAGCACCTGAAAACATGAAGAGTCCTGTGAACATCTGCCCCTCCAGAAAACTGGAGATCCTCGCCAAGAGCCCTGATGGATGGCTGAGTGACCTCTGCCTGCCTCTTGTGCCACCCCAGCACAAAGGACATTGCCCTTCAGCATCAAAGAGGGGGTGGCTGTCACAGAGCAGCCTGTGTTCATCCCTGTGGCTCAGAGCCAGCGTGTGTCAAAGCCACGTAAAATCTTGCTATGGAAAGAGGCCACCCCTCCTCCTCCAGCCTTTGTGAAACACACTGCAGTGCAGGGAGAGATCCTAAAGTATCCCAGTATGGTCATTCAGGGCACAGCAAACCCCTGGTGCTGTTGAATCCAGCATTTAGCAGGGTCTGTAGGAGAGTCCCATTGGTGAAAGGCTGCCCTGACTGATGTCCTGCTTCCCTCTGGGACAGCTCTGTTCATCGGGGCATCAGAGGAAGCAGCAGCAAAGGAACAGGATGATGATGATGATGATGATGGAGCAGCTTTTCCTCCTGGATTGCACCAACCCTGAAAGAGTGTCTGGGGAGGGAAGAAGGCGCAGGGCTGCGCATGCCTCTAATGAGGAGCCTTCGTTACCAGAGCCCGGATTGATTTGGCGTTTGTTGGTGCAACACATCGGCAAATGCGAGATTTGCGAGGGAAATATTTGCCAGCACTGTGAAGCTCCATTAAGGGAATGTTTTGAGAGCCTGTTGTGTGCAGAGATGGTAAACAAGGCCAGCCTCCCCCGCTGCTTGCAGAGCCTCACTGCCGGTTAATTGCCGGGTACAGAACTGTCAGCTTGAGACCACAGTTACAAGATTTGACAACTGAAAGAAACTTAAAGATATAATTAACCTTCTTGGTGGCCCAGATTGTGCTGGAACAGGTGAGCACTGCGGCTGCTGGTGCCTGGCAGGGAGCCCACAGCACCCAGCAGCATCCAGCCCTCGCCTGCAGGACAGGCACTCCTTGCCCAGCTGGAGCCTCCAGAACCCTGTGATTTGCAGGGAAAAAGGCTTTTCTGGACAGCTGTTGGTGTTGCACTCAAATCAGGAGCTGGACCTGGTCACCCCAGGGAGGATTTCCAGTTCTGGCTCCAGTTCACAGCCACCCAAGCATCGCTGGGTGAAGTGCTCCCCTGCACACATCCCTGTGGATGCAGGACTGGTGCTGTGGGAGCAGCTCTGCTCCTGAGTCAAGGGGATCCCAGCAGCCCCAGGCCTGCAGGGTGTTATCCAGGGTGGTGAATGCAACTTGAATGGCTCCAAAAGCCCTTGACCCACTTGTTTCTGATGGCGTTCACAGCTGCATCTGCCACCAGCAGTGAGCCACTCGAGCCAGTCATCTCACCTGGAGCAAGGGAAGCCTCTGGTGCTCACCAAACACCAGCCCTCCTCAGCCTCCAGTCCTCCTCCACCATGTCTCAGCCTCTCCACTAGATTCAGGCAACCAGTCTCCCTGCCCTGCAGGAATTTGCTCTCTGGCATCCCCTGTTGAACCAGGGCTTCCCTGATGTACTGCCCTGGCTGGGGATGGAGCCCAGCAGGGGAGGGGGACTGCCCAGGTAATTTCCTAAAAAAACCCCTTCTTCTCATGCAAAAGCTGCTTAGATGAGAGGCAAACAGATACCAGGAATGCACCACCCTCTCTCCACCATGCCTGTGGTCCTCACACTCGGCCTCAGTTCCCTCCTCAGCGTTTGCCCGGTGCTCCCGAGCAGGCAGGGGAGCGGCGGGCACGGGCAGTGCTCCTCCCGTGCCTCAGCTGATTATTTATTTAGAGCACGATGGCTGCACTGATCCGGGCTGGATGCAGCCTCCCCCATTTCCTGGCTTTGCTTTCAGGAGTTCTGTCTCTCCAAAGCAAAGGTTTGGCTGTTGTGCAGGAGGGAGAGCCTCTGTTATCCCTCTGCGAACGTCTGCCTGCAAATCCAGTGTTGGAAAATTGTAGATCATAGAAAACAGGACTGCAAGAGCCCCCAGGGGATCAGTTGGTTCATTCCCCTCCTTCCCTGGGGAGATTGCTCCTACTGGAGAGAAGCTGTGCTAAAATATCCAAAAAATCTCAGCCATGCTCTCTGTGTTTTCTGTATTTACAAAAAGATGTGTAACACTGTGAGGGGGTGCTGCTGGGGGAATGCTTTTGTGCTGCTGCACTGGACAAGAGACTGATGGTGGAAATGCCCCAAAATGGGCACCAGAGACCCTGGGCACTGGGCAGGACTGGGCATCCCATTGGGGAGCCCAGCAAGCACGGGCTGTTGTGATCCACCCCTTCCCAGGCAATTTATTCCATGTAATGTTCACTGGAAGTTTTCTGTGGTGACAGCCACGGTCCTCCATGGGTGGATCTTCCCCCACAGCTCTGCTCAGAGGTTTATTTGTGTCTTTTCAGTTTTTATACTCTAATCTCAGTCTGGGAATGGGGTGCTTGTGATTTCCAGGGAGCCAGTGCTGGAGCTGAGCCCATGGCTGAGAGTGCTGGTGGTGTGCATTCCCTGCATCCTCTCTTCAAACACTTTTGGGTAATTTAGCAGGGACTAACCCTTGGGCAAGCACAAGGGCAGTTCATGGGCTGGAGCAGGGGCAGCTTTGCTGCTCCTCAGGGTGCTTTTCTTGGGGGTTGGCGTGTAAGACCAGGAGAGCACCTTTTGCCATCGAGCCAGTCATGGCTCCCCAGGATGGATCAGTGGCTGTGGTTTTGTGCTGGGAAGGATGGAGCTCACAGCTGGAGGCCTCACAGTGACACAGAGCCTGCCTCGAGGGTGTCCCTGCCTTGGGGATCCAGGTCAGGATCACAGTGACACAGAGCCTGCCACAAAGGTGTCCCTGCCTTGGAGACCCTGGCCACAGTGGCACAGATGAGGAGGCAGTAGTCAGGCAGCCCAGCCATCTGGGAAAACATAATGGATCAAGCATATGGACAATTAAAAATGCAATGACAGCATTTAGCAGGAGTTGTTTTCCGAGCTTATTTTAAGCTCAGTTTCCTGATCATCACAGCCCCAGGGACAGCGAGGCCCTGCTCGTGGGGATTTGGTGTGTGGAGGCTGAGTGCTCCATGATGGGTGGGGAGCTCACAGCTGGATTTTGGGCTCACAGTCATGCCTTTGTGGTGCTTTGGGGGCACAGATTTGATCCTGCCTTCTCCCTCTGGCTGGCTCTGCATGTTGCAGCTCTCCACCCCCTCCTCTTCTCTCTCTCTGGGACAGGATGCAGTGTTTGCAATGTGAACATTCCAGCTCAGGCAAAATATTGGCCACAGCAGAAATTATTTTGGCTTTTGTGTTTTTCTTGCCATTGGGGCTGGCTGTGCTAGAGGAACAGTGTTTGTCCATTAAAGGAGCACCCTTTATAGCAAGATAACTGCTTGCTAGATAATAATATATAATTAGCAAGGACCATTCCATAGTCCAGTTTAATTGACAGAGACCATGGGTGTTGTACAGGGGACTGCCTGCACAAAAACTGGAGCATCATTAATTGTGTAGGCTTCCCTTTTTTTTGCTTACTCTGACATGTCAGAGCTCCTTTGTGCCTCAGTTTCCCCTCCTGAGGTGCCATTTGAATGTTGCCATGCCCTGCATGGAGGAGCAAGGTTTTGCTGGTTGTGGTGAACTGGGCTGGGGAGTTCCCTCATGTGTTTCCCTCCCTCTAGCTCTTCTTTTCTGCTTCCCTCTGTCCCTCCACTGCTCCAGCCTCCTACTTCTGCTCCATAACATACCCTGGGAGGGAAGTTCCTGGAGCATCCTTTGGGCTCCAAGGATTTCTGTGGCTTCTGTGGCATTTCCTTGCCTTCCAAGTCTTTTAATCCAGGGCCAGTTTAGCCAACCCTTCATATTACAGGGCTGCCAGGGAAGCAAATGAGATCTAAAACTTTGGGTTCTTTGTGAAGAAACCTTTGAAGAGCCTCTTGAAAGATGAAAACTGGTGAGCTGCTGAGCTCTGTCTCTTCCAAAGGACAGGGAGGTTCTTGTCTACTCCCATCTTCTTTCACCCAAGTAATTTGCAGCAGGACAAAGCTCTCCTGAGCTGTGCCTGCTGATGGGGAGCAGAGCAAGCTGTCACCTACTGCCTTCCCAAATTTGCTCTTCAAAGCCAGGGGCAGAAGTCAGCTCTGGCAGGAATTGATTCCCTTTTCCATGAGCCCACCCTGCATTCCTCATGAGTGGGGTGGGGGATCAGGAGGTGACACCTCCAGAAGGTGCTTCCCTCCTCTCCTTGCTGGGTGCAGCAGGTCTCTGCCAGCTTTATCTGTGTACTCCTTTGCTGAAAACAAATCTGTGGGATAGCTTAATCTGGAAGGAAAAGGGGAAAAATAAGATCTTTTCTCTAGATTGGGTGCTTCCCTCATTTAACATTTCCCCAGTTAAAAGGGATTTCAGTCTCCATGCCAGAGAAATCAAGCACAAGAGAGGCACTGCTCAGCCCTTTCATCCTCCCTTTTTAATCTAGAAGGGTTTCCCCAGCATCAAGAGTGGCCAGCATCACCCACAGGAGGGAAAGAAGAGCCAGGGAGCAGCAAACTGATTCAGCAGCTAACCCAAGGCATAAACAAACACAGTGTGCAGGTGAGGCTGCCCCATGGAGGGAATCTGGTTTTGGTAGACTAATTAAAAACTTCATTAGTGCCAGGTATCCAGTATCCTGTTGTCACATTCAGCATCACCCTTTGGGGAAATGAAATCCTTTTTGGCCTGTTGCTTTCCCATCTCTGTTTTTGTTTTCTTTCCCCACCTTCCTTTCTGTTTTTGTCCTTAAAACCTTCCTTGGTTCCCTGAATTCCTCCTGTTGAGGGTCTTGAGCCCAACTCTCCAGACTCTTTCCAGTTCTTCCAGTCAGCTTCTGCAAAGCTGAGTCTGTGACTCCTCAGCCCAAATGTTACTGCCAGCTTTAACATCAAGATAAAAGAACTGCACCCAGAGCTTTACACTTGGGTTCCTTTGAAACAAACTTGGCAAAAAATATCAACCATTACATAGAGGAAATTTATAGGAGAGGTTTCTGCTTGTGTGCATCAACTCTGCATCCATGCAGTTACTTTCTAAATTAAAAATATTTGGCACAGCCAGACTGTATCTGACCTGTGTGGGAAGCTTCTTTGGCCTGGCTCTCATTAGACCAGAAGTTCCTCATTTTCAGGGATTTTGCTTCTCACATTACCCAAATAGAGAAAACACGGTCTGGCACCAGGAACAGGAAGCTGAAAATAAATCCTGCAGGTCTTGGTGTTGCAGCTCTGATGCAAAAGCTGTGTCATTCATTGATCCTGAACCCTTCCTGATGGTCCAGGATACACAAATTCAATTACAGCTGTGCAGTTTGAAGCTATTTAACAGGGAAATTGAGCTGATTGCTTGTAAGAAATTGAGGGGTTTCCCATTTTTTGCTACAGCCTGGTCAACAAGTGTTACATGTTACTGAATATTACCCACAGCATCAGCACACACAGATCTGCCACTTTCTGCCTCTAACACACCTGACTTTAGCTTCCTACAAATGAAACCTCTGTGTTCAGCTGTTTGAGGACACCTTCAATGTGCACAGGCAAAACTGGTCTTGCACTGGTCCAAGCAAACAAAACAGAGTTTAAGATATTCTTAAGAGAACCTGCAATTATCTAATTAAATTTATGGAGTTCAACACCTCAAGTAAGTTTTCTGCTAACGGTCTACAGATGAAAAAAGCATCTAGCATCTCCAAGTAGTGACAGTCAGTCATTTTTTAGGTGAAGATATGAACACCATGACTGGAACAGCCTTGGTAACAGCTTATAGAGAACAAGACAACTTGTGGTACAAAAGAAATCAGAGCAAATATAGAGGCAAGAATTCCAATTTTCAGTAAGTAGAAAGAATTTAAACAACAGTTTGTTGCTTAAATTTGTTCGTGCAATCCATGTTCCTTTTAGAGAAGAAAAAGCCTTTAAAAGGAGTATTTAGTTTTATTTAGATAATTCATGACAAGTTTTTTTTCACATTACAGTAAAAACAAGCACCATGTTTACATCATGAGTGAGGTTTGGAAGGCTGAACAAGCTGCTCCTTGAACAGCAGAGACTTTAAACAGCACCTTTACCCTGGGGCTTTAGAAAATGCCCCAAATCACAATGATTGAGAGGATGGAAGTCACTGAAATCCATTTTACATCCAGCTCTGGAATGCAGCAAAGGAAAATCACCTTGGCAAAACAGGCCAGGCCCAGCTGCAGCAGACGTGGCTGATTTAGGGCTAACTAGAGTTTGCAATTATCCCCCAGGAATCTCTTCCCATGGACCAATTAGCCATAATTACCAGTATTTCCAGCCAGCAGAGCACAGAGCTGCTCCTTTAAAAGGGTTATTCAGCTGAATACACCTGAAGATCCACACCAGGGATCGAGCTAAACTGAGCTACAACAAACAGGCACGAGAGAGAAACAGGTGAGTCAGCAAGGATGGAAAATACACAGAGGAGTACAAGAAACTTTCCTTGCAACATGGATTTCCAGCAAGTCAGAGTTACAGCACCCATTCCATCACTGGTTTTTCTCTCCTGTTTGTGGAGCAGTGCCGGGGATCACCCAGTCAGGGCTCCCAGTTCCACAGAGATATAGGCACAGCAAGTCCTCCCTCGGGATCAAGCACAACTCCTCACTTTTTGTGGCTCTGCACAAAGGCAGGGACAGGGAGTGTGCCATCCTTGACTGCTGCTCGGGTCTCAGGTCTGTGCTTTAATGAGAAGACAAGGGCTCGCACGGCCCGGCGATACGGAGCGCTAATGAGGCGGGAGCAGAGATGAAAAGCTTCGCGCTCAATATTTTCAGCCAGTGGGTGATCAATCTGAAAACAGCAAAGTATAAAATTAGATCTTTACATTTAATAAGGAGGCCAGCTGATTGAAATCGGAGTTTGGTGCCTTTCAGTGTTTCTTCATTAATCAGCTTAGATTCAAGGAAATCTGCTTCCCATCACAAGTGTAACAGGAAGAGCAATTTAATTCCACCCTAGCAATTAAGGGACAAGGCAGCGTGGTCAGTGGCAGGGAACATATCCCCACCTCCAGCTGGGTGGCAGTACTTTGCCATCACAACAGGAAACTAATCTGTGACAAGCTTTGGGTATCAAGCTCGCTGCAATTATAAGCTATGCTGTAGTGTCTCCATAAAGCTCACTTTTGATCTGGCTGATATAAGGTACCTTGGATACTATTTTAAACTTGATTCCAACAGCAACTCTAAGACATGCCAAACACTTGGCAACTCTGCCTGCTGCTATAAAGGGAAATGTGGGATCTCTGTCTCTAGAAGGAGGTGTAATTAAGAACGCAGAAAGGGATTTGCTAAATGTTAATTATGTAGTTATTGCTTCAACATGTGCCAAAACCTGTAATTCAGCACAGTTTAGGAAGAAATCCCCCACCCTTCAAGAAATGCTTTTAAATTCACTTCTGCCTTGTGTGATGGGGAATCTTCCATGCATTGCATGCAGGAGATTCCAGTGAGCTGAGTGGTATTCCTGCAAGTCCTTCACCACACAAGTTTTGCCACCCATCACTAAAAACCCCTTGGCTCCACTCAGTCCCACCTTCCCTTCTCTCTTTTGACACCTCTCAGGTGTCAGCAGCAGCTGTGGCTCCCCTGCCTTTATCAGCAATTCAACTGCTGTGACCTCTGCTTGCACGTGTGGTGGCTGCAGGTGTCTTCAGGTGAGTCCTGTTCAGAAGCAATCCTGCTTTACCCAGTTCTGCTCATTTTAGGGTGGTACCAGAATCTTTATGTTCCACAGATTTAGACTTCACTGCCACTATTGTCACCATGCATAGCTGTGCTTTCTAAGGACTAAGCTTGACTCACCAAAGGTGAGCTCCTGCCTTTCTGAGGCATTCCTACAGCAAACCACCCTTCTGTGCTGCCCCAGACTGGAAGCTGGAGAGGTTGTTCTCACAGCTAGCAAACAAACAACTTTCAAACTCTTGAATGTTTATCACTTGACTTGTCATTGAAAGGATAATTAATGAATAAATTGAAAATTACAATTATTATGGCATTTCACAGACCAAGCAAACTAGTTATTAAGCCTTACAACAGAGCCTTGTTCATTTAGTTAAACATACCTGAGGGATCTGGTATTTATCACCACTTTAAATACTGTCAACCTTGCCTCTCTCTTTTTGCTATAGATTTAAATTTACAAATATTTAATTAGGAAACACCCAAAAAGTCCCTCTGTTGCTTTCATAGCTGTTTAGTAGGAAAAGCTTCATCTTCTATTAATTTCCTCCTTGTACAGCCCAACAGCAGTGGCCACACAAGTAATCTGTTGACAGGTTATGGAAATGACAACACTCACAATTAGCAGGTTCCCTTGGTTAACAACCAAAACCCATTATCTACCTTGCAAATGAAGTAACTCATAAATAGGGATGTGCTGTGAATCCCTAAAAATAGGAACAGATCACCTGGTCTTGTCCCCACTCAGCAGGCAGGACCAGCTTGGCTGGAAAAGGTTTCACTTGTCCCCACAAGAAGGAAATTTTGGAGCCACAGGCTCTGAGCTGTACCTCCAGTTCCAGGGCTTCACTGAGCAGCTTCTGAGCGTTCTTCCTGAAGGCCTCAGTCCTGGGATCACTCCTGACCTCGATGGAGGGCCTGTTGGAGTGCTCCTTGATGAAGCTCTTCCACTCCCTGAAGATGTCCTTGGCCAGGCTGGACACCTCTGGGTCGGGGTGTTTGCGCATCTTGTTCACCGTGTGACCTGGGACAGGGAACAGCTCGGGTGGGACCGGCAGCTGGGGAAAGCACAGCTGGCAGCAGTCAAATCACAGTGCTTAAGCAGCCACACAGCTTCTCAACTCCGCAGTCTCAGCAAAACAACCAAAGCATTGACACACAAACAGAAAATGACCAGGATTTAAGCATGGAGCTTGAGAAATTAGCAAGGAATTGAGAAAATCACCTTCCCGAGTCACCCAGGTGTGGAGCCAAACTTATTTAACTCGGACTATGCTAGCTGTTTACACTGATCCTGGATCTGGTGAAGGTTTTTAAGCCTGGCCTACAAAAAGTGCTGTTTTTTAGCTGGGAACCTTTAGGGAAGCAGATGTTGCTGGTGATGCTGTAGCATTTAAACACGGGAACACCACGACGGCTCCAAGCAGAATGTTTCCCATCCAGAGGGCCTGGCAGTGCAGAAGAGCCTTTCCCCCGCGAGGTGACAAAGGGACCTTCCTGCTTCCAGAGGGTGTTTTTCCCTGGCCAGGAGCGCTGTCGGCCAGGAGATGTCACTGTTAGGCTTCAGTGCCTCTGCCAGCCCGGCGCTGTTCAGGCAGGCATTGGGGAAAATCCCGGGGAAAGCCTGAATAAGCTGAACAAGGCAAATGGAATGACAGATCAGAGGGATGGGGAAAGGGGCGGATTGCAGCTGCTTTTCCGGGGCTCTGTGAACAGAGATCCGGCTGCTCCGAGGGTAGACAAAGGCCGGGATGCTCTCCCTGTTGGGGAAAGGCAGGGACCATGTGGTCACCGTTATCCCTCCCCCAGGTCCTGCGGAGAAGAGGCAGGGATGGGGCTGTGCCATTCGCATGGAGCTGCCCATCTGCTGGGGATTCCTCAGTCTAAGCATGCAGGAAGCAGCTCTGGGCCACTCTGAGATCTTCTCACACCTCCAGGGGATTCAGCCAAATCAGATAAATGAGCACTGACAGCAGGAGAAGGGATAAACCACAGAGTTACCACGGAGAGCTGTTCAAAGTTGTGACCACAAAAGGGGGGATGCAGAATTTCCTGGGAGGAATCAGAGGACAGCTGACTCCTTCTGTACAAGCTGTGCAAACTGCAGGCTTGATATCAACAATATTTCATTGGCAGCAATTTCCTCATTTCTTAAAAAGCTTCCAGACTAATCTCTAGTGCACTGACAAGCCAAGCAGACACAAGACAGCCTAATATTCACAGTTTAGATAGACCAGATGTACCTATTTTAGTGGAAAGTAACACTTCCTTGGAAGGTATTTTCTTCTTCAGCTCCTCCAAAGCTTCCATCAGGTTCTCTTTGGGTTGCCCAGGAAGCTCAAGTATAGACTTCCATCGTTTTATGTCTTCCACAACCACAACTCTCTGGGAAAGAGAAAAGCTCCTTATGAAAGTGGAATATTGTTATGATAAGTAAGGAACCTTCATCTCAGCTAATGGGGCTGTTATCAATACATGAATTATTGATCATGGCACAGAATATATGATGGGTACTTGCTTGGAATTAGAAAACTCCTGCCAATCAAGGCTGAAGTAACCAGCAAACAAAGTGAGAGGCTTTCACCTGCGTCTACCAAACTCTGGGCACATAACAGCAAACTCCTCCTAGAAGTGTTCTGAATTTAAGGAATCCATTGCATAAACGTTTCTAAATAGGAAAAGGGATTAAGAGGGAGGTGGCTGATTATCCTGACATCCAGCTCAGATTGACTATAGAAATAAAACAATGCCAGCAAGGTGAGAAACAGAGCATTAGGGAACGTGAATGCAGACCTGAATACACTGCATAGCTGCAGTGTTTTCACTGGTTTTGCCACAGACCTTGACAGAGCAGACTGCAAACAGTGCAAGTCTCATATTTTGGGTGTGAAGCATCTTATCCAGCAGTGGTCAGACAACTGCAGTGCTTTATGCACCATTCTTTTGATTTTTGCCACACTCGGTGAACTTTTTGGTACAGCAAATGTTTTGCTGTTGTGTGTCACAAGCAGGTGACCAAGAGGGGTTCAGCTCTCGTGCAGGTCTCATGCACGACATCCATGAAATGAACGGAAGGGTTTTCCTTGCTGGAAAGGGATGAGAGCCAGCTGGGAATACTGGGGCTGGCGGTGTCACCGGGCTGTCCTCGAATGCGTGCCCAGCCCGACCCCGCACCACACCGTTATAACCCACGGAAGCCCTTCCAAGGCAGCAGAGCCCTCTGCACCTGTACAACCACCTCCCTGTTCGGGTCCCACGGCAGCACTGCACAGAT